GATGGGCGCCAGGGAGGTCTTGGCCAGCTGGGCCGGGTGGTTGATGGTGTCGGCGTCCAAGGCCACCAGCTGCAGCGTGCGGGCCAGCTCGAAGATGCGCTCGGTCTCGCTCTGCACCTCGGCTGCGAGAGCAGGGGACAGTGAGGGTCCCGGTGGGACAACACGTGGGAGAGCATAGGGGACAATGGGGACAGCTGCTGGGGACACCTTGGTGACATGGCGAGGGGAAGGGGGCAGAGGACAGGACCGGCGAGGGTCTTGCACTGGTTGCCCTCCTCCAGGCCACCGCATCCCCGGGGACACAGGGGAGGTGGCCCTGGGCACCGTGTCTGTGCAGACCAAGGGGTGGCTGGTGACAGGGGACTACGTGGGGCACGAGGTTGTGTGGGGCTGTGTCTCAGGGTGTCACCAGGCTCCAGGGGTGGCCGGACCCCCCCAGGGCCGGTCCCGGCCAGGCAGGGGGCCGCGTCGTGTCCCCAGCCGGGGCAGGGGGGCTGGCGAGGGTCCCGAGGGCTCCAAGCTACGTACCCAAGACATCTGTATCAGGAGCAGGGGAGGAAGGAAGCAGCGCAGAGGGGAGGAAACCCCGAGGAAAGGAGAGGAAGAAAAGGAAGGGAAAACAACAGAGAGAAGGTGAGGAGAGAGCCGGGGGGGAGAGGACGGAGCCGCGGCGCCAGCTCCGCGGTCACCGCGGCGCCCGGAGCGGGGACACGGGGAAGGCGGCTGATACAGATGTGCGCTTGGGGGGGGACGCATGGCGCGGCGCGGCCGTACCCAGGCTGGAGCGCGTGCTGGAGCGCTCGATGATCGTGTGCTTGCTGGGGTTGTTGAGCACCGAGCGCTTGGCCAGCGAGATGTCGGCCGTGACCCGCGTGATGGAGATCCTGCGGCACGAGAGGCGGCGTCGGCGGCGCCCGATGTCCCCCCAAAAAACAGAAATTCCCGGGGCACCCCATGTCCTTCCTCCCACCCCCAGGGGCAGGACTCCTGGGCCCCTCCGGAGGGGATTTCTCCGGAGCCCCTTGGCAGTGGGCAGGCTGCAATTATAGAATCATAGAATCATGGAATGCTCAAGGTTGGAAGGGACCTCTAGGGATCATCTAGTCACACGCAGGGTCACCCAGAGCACGTGGCACAGGGCTGCGTCCAAGCAGGTTTGGAAGATCTCCAGAGAAGGAGACTCCACAACCTCTCTGGGCAGCCTGTTCCAGTGCTCTGGCACCCTCACTGTTAAGAAAT